AGTGGTCTGGGTGCCTATAGTGGTCCTTTAATGTCTTACCACATCCACTCTCTCTTTTTTTTTTCTTTCTCAATTGTCAAAAGTGATGTGAAGCAACTTCCCCTAAAGTGTGTTATTTCCCCAACAACACTTTTAAAATGTTTTACACTTTTAAAAAGTTGCTGCTATACAGAATCTGTCACAGAACCTAATGCATAGAAGGTCAGTAGAACAGAGTACTACATGTCGGCATTACTTGCTGTTATGGAAAAGGCTATAATGTTTGGGCCAATCTGTAAATCAGACTAGTGATACTGAAGTTGCTTTACGACTATTTGTGACGTTGGAGATATGTGGATGGGTCAGAGAATTAGAGGGACGTACATTAACTATTAGCATTCACAGCTGGTCTTTCCAACCTTTGCCCATTATTTTCTTTGTCAGACCATGTAACTGTGTATTTAGGATGCAAATCCCACGTTCATATCTTATTAATATAAAATCTTTTAATCCGGGCACTGTTGCGTGTGGGGACTGGTATCAGCCGTACTGTTTGTGCAGGGGAATGGTAGCGGCTATAGTGTGTGGGAGACAGGGGTTGTATTATTTTGGGGGGTAATAGGGGCTAATGTGTTTATGGGGGGGTAGTATGGGCTGTAGTGTGTGTGAATAATTATAAAATAATAATGGTGAATAGTAAAACACACATACATTAAAGCAGTGGTAGTCAACCTTTTTCTACCTACTAACTTTTTCGCCCACTAATGCATATTTTTGGTTGAAAAAATTTCCTTATCGCCCACCAGTTTTCGTGCGGAATATTTTTTTAGAAAGGAGGGTGTTTTAAAAAAAATAAATGTACGTACCTTTATCTTTTTATTTCTACTTAATGCATGTTTATAATGTTTTTAACTTTATAAAGTTTAATGAGAAAACAATAAAGTAAATTGAAATAACCTTTACTATTGATTAATGAGATCCTTGAGGCTGATGCTGCAAGACTAAATATTTGATATCTGATTCGATTTTCGTAAGGAACAAACGAAGGTCTCCTCTTTCGGTGATATTCAGACGACTTCTCTGTTTGCGCATAATATGATTTCTCATCTGTGCATCAGCTCCCCTCCTCTCCCTCCTCAATTCCTCTCCCCACTTTTTTTTCCTTTTTTTCTATTTTTTAACCTTCCTTATAGCAGTAGGAAGGTTGAGCTAGGTAGCCCACTTACTATTACTTACTATAGCCCACTATAACAGACAGGCACACATACACAGGCACACATACATACAAATAGACAGGCACACATACAGACACACATAAGACCAGGGGAGGGCTGGCAGCCTTAGGCCTGGGGGGCAAAACCAGTCAAGTGGCCCATTGCACCACCAAATCAGTTCACCATCCATGCCCACCTTTTCCTGGTTTTATAACGGATATTGATGTTATGCTAATCAGTAGCTCTTTGCCATACCCGCTCCTTCACGGCTCCAGGCACTGCTTGTTGTGAGTGTGAGCCACTGTAAATTAGGGGCAGAGGGCACTTGCACTGCGGTAAAGATGGGGCTGGACAGGAGGAGAGTGCAGTGCAATCAGTGCACTCCCCTCCTGTGGGTCACCAGTAGACTGGTGCACCTGCCCAGGATCAGTGCCGGTGCAAGGATTTTTGCCGCCCTAGACAAAATAAAAATTTGCTGCCCCCCCATGTGACATCACAATGCCCCACCCATATGAACTAACGCCAGTGCTGCACACAGTGTGTGTTTACATTAAAAAGCCTGCAGGGACCAGCTATAGACACCAGAACCACTTCATTAAGCTATAGTGTCCCTTTAATGTGAGGTACATTATAGATTAGTGTCACTAATAATATACTAGATTGCCTACTTACAAGCAGATGAGGATGATGATGGGCTGCAGTTTGGCTCCACTGGTCTGGTGTAGAACAGGATCTCTGGAGGCTGTTTGCAGCTGTGGTCACAAAATTCAATGTTCTGGGAGAATTGGAAGCAGCTCCATTTTTTGGGGCCCCTTACACAGCTCAAGGTCTGGGCCCCAGGGCCTGACGGTGAGTATGCCCATAAGGCCCACTCATAAGTTCCACCCACCCATGAGTTCGCTCACAGGGAGTGGAGTGTGTAGGGGATGTGTTATGTGTTATTGTAGAGGATCTAATATGTGTGCTTATGGTATGTAGTGTATAGGGTTACCAGTTTGTGCAGGTGATGTAGTGTGTTTGTGTGTAGTGGAAGCAGTGTGTATTTGTGTATAAGGGATGTATTATGTGTTTCTGGTTGTGTGTAAGGGATGCATTGTGTGAATCTGTGTTTGTATGCATAAGGGATGCAAGGTGTGTGTCTGTATGTGTGTGCATGAGATGCATTGTGTTTCTGTGTGTATGTAAGAAAAGAAGTGTGTGTGTTTGCATGTGTGTACGGGTTTGCATTGTCTGTTTCTGTGTATGTGTGCAAAGGATGCATTGTCTTTGTGTGTAAGGGTTGCATTGTGTGTGTGTGTGTAATGGATGCATTGTGTGTTTCTCTGTGTGTAAGGGAAGCATGTTGTGTTTCTGTGTATGTATAGGGATGCATTGTGTGTGTGTGCGCGCGTAGTGTGAAAGAGCTCCCTGTCTTGGCCCCTGTCCTATAGAGCTGCCCCTTCTGTCCCGTAGAGCTCTCCCCTGCACCTTAGTGGTCTCTCCTCTCCCCCACCCTCCCCTAGCGGTCTCTTCTCACACTCACCCACCCTCCCTGTGCTCTTCTCACTCCTCCCTCTATGTGTTCTCCTCACACCCCCTGTGTTCGTCTTACCCCCCTCCTCCCTGTGTTCTTCATACTTCCCCCCTTGGTCGTCTTACTCCCCCACCTGTTCTTCTTAACCCCCTTCTTCTTATTGCTCCCCCTTCTTCTTCTTACCCCCCTTCTTCTTCTTCCTCTTCCTCCCCCTTCTTCTTCTTACTCCCCCCATTTCTTCATACTCACCCTTCTTCTTACCCCTCTTCTTCTTCTTACTCCCCACTCTTCTTCTTCTTACTCCCCACTCTTTTTCTTACTCACCCCTTCTTCTTCTTCTTACCCCCCTCTTTTTCTTATCTCCCCTCCTTCTTACTCCCTCCCTCTTCTTACTTCCCCTCCCTCTTCTTATAATTCCCCCTCCTCTTTTCTTATTCTCCCTCTTCTTATTCCCTCCCTTATCCCCCCTTCTTCTTCTTATTCCCCTCCCTCCTTCTTACCCTACCCTCCTCCCTCTTTTCTACCCCCTCCCCTGTAGCGTGGCCGAGCTGCACTCCGGTCGCGGTGGCCGGCCGGCCGGAGTGATAGGAAGGTGCACACTCAGTGTGCACTTCCTGTCAGTCCGGGGTAACAGGAAACAGAAACTCCGCGCGGAACAGGAGTTTGTTTTCTGTAACCGGCCGGACTGACAGGAAGTGCACACTCAGTGTGCACCTCCTATCACTCCTGGCCGGCCACCGCGGACCGGAGTGCAGCTCGGCCACGCTACAGGGGAGGGGAGAAGCTGCAGCCGCCTGAGGCTCTTAACAGAGCGCTCAGGCGGCTGCAGTATTTAAAGGGCCGGCCCGCCGCGGCCGGCCTTACAGGAATTTAGGGCGGCCTGGGGGGCAATTGCCTCCCTGCCCCCCGGCCCAGCCCGCCCCTGCATAAGACATACATACAAAGACACACACACAAGCAGACAGACACAAGACACATACATACAAAGACAAGACACACACACAAGACATACATACATAGACACATACATAAGACACACAAACATACAAAGACACATACATACAGACAGACACACAATACATACATACAAAGACACATCCACACAAACACACACAAAATATTTTAGTCACCCTCCTGTTTCCTACCTTTTAGGTGCAGGAGGGTGACTTTCCCTTGGGTCCAGTGGTGGCTCAGGTGGATGGGAGTCAGAGTTCCTACTCTGACTCCCTGGTATTCCTCCCGCGCGGTCTGTGTGTTAGCTGGGAGGAGTGACGTGCAGTCACTTCCTCCCAGAGTTTGATGTAACCACAGGGGGCTGAGCCGTGCTGTTAAAGTGCCCAGTGCTGACCGGGCCCCCTTACAATCTACATCCATCAGGTGGCCCTGACAGCATGGGCCACCCGATGGACCCCTTGGACGGCGGCCCAGGCGGGAAATGGTGATGGCGGAACCCGGTCGCAGGGGTACCGCTGGCTCTCACCCGCCCTCCCGCCAAATCTCTGAAATTTAGGAAATCCCTACCGCCCAACTGAAATCCTGAAATGCCCACTAGTGGGCGGTAGGGACCAATGACTACCCCTTTATTAAAATGTATTCCTCCTTCTCTCTTGCTTACCTTAAACAATATATTCGAAGTTCCATCACATATGTAAAATTTGTATCAGTTGTTTTTTGGCATTTCCAACATGTGTTATTATGTTGGACATTATGTTTATTCATCTTTATATATCCTTCCACATTGTTTCTAGATGGGTAGAAGAGTTCGTCAGGCCCTTCTGTATTGTAAATGCCATTTCGCAATGTGTGCCAGTCCCATGCTGTCATGTAGCCAGACCACTGAACTCTCGCTTTTTCATTGAGCAGACTGTAGTGAACTGTAGTAGACAATAAATTAACTTTTTTTCCCCAAAATTTTTTTACGTAAGGCCTGATTGTTCATTATTAAGTCCATCATGATCAATAGCCGCTCCAACTGTAAATATGAGTACCGTTTATTAATTTTCGGTTAACTTTTAAGAATAAATTGTAGCCTGGAGAGTTTCAAAAGAACCCCTGATTCACAGAGCAATACACATAATGCTGGTTTTGAAGATTTATATATATATAAAAAAACTAATATAGTCTAAATTGTATTTGGTATTTAGGGAATAAACTCCAATGTATACAAATGCCTGGTAAGTAAAAGTAGTGAGCTGATGAATGCTTTTAACAAGTCCAGCCCTTCTTATCAGTAGGGAGTTCCAAGTACTTAGAAGACTGCTTAACACGTTGTTTTTTGTCATTGCAAATTGTTGCCTACACTACGAACATACTATTTACAGACACTTCACACAACTACAGCAGGAACTACTTACAGACTTATCCAAGGTAAGTTCAATAAAGCATAAAAAAAAAACTTGTACGCTAGTCAAAACTAAAGTGTGAATTTTTGAGAAGTCAAAGTTAATTACAAATTTTATGCCAAAATTTCTGCTATGTTGGCATAATTTTTAACTTCACTTTGAATTCCTGACAGCTCACACTGTAGTGATTAGCCCGTATCGTACTCAGCGTACTTATCAGAACAACCACGTGTATTGTATTCTATGGAGTGATAACTGTATTGTATAGATTTACATTGATTACAAGTTAATACAATGTACCGATAATAAGACTGTTAGCGACGTGCAATATAGCTAAAATTCCTGTATATATGTCTACCTTAGCCCATAGCCCCATCTTATTGTTTCTGTAATGACAGGTGTTACAGTCTCTAGAATAATATTATTCACTAATTCAAATGTCAATATCACATGTGCTCTCACAAAAAAAAAATCTAAATTCTTCAAAAACTAACAGTGGTGCTATAGGAAACATATATATCTGAATATATTGGTGTGGTTTATTTGTGAACATGCAGGTTAGTGTTAAACACACACACGCTATAAGGGTGCTGCTGGGACCAATATACAATCCAGCGCACTCACAATGCCAGCTTCAAAGCCCATAGAATGCCACACCTCATAATCTTCTAATGTTTGCATGTTCAGGTGAGTGCACCCATCTTGGATTTATATTTGGGAGTCCAGGCCAACTCCCCGGGTTTGCACCCCTCCCTGTCACAGGTACTTCATTCAGGGCCTTATTTAACCTGCCACCTCAACCTTCAATCTCATAAGAACAGGTTTAGGTTGTTAGGATAGGACCTGCCAAGAATGAGGTACCTTGGCGTTGTGGCAGGCTTATGCAAAGTATGATCTTACACTGTAACTATTTTTCTTTTGTCAGATGTTTTTTAAAAACTATGAAAGTGTTTGAGCGTCTTTGAAGCTGGTGTCTGAGTGAATTGATTCTGGAGGTTTACATATACATATTATAATTTTTATTCTGTAAGTTTTCATCACCAGGGTTCTTCTCAAATCTTATCTGTCCAAGTAAATTACGCGCTGTTACAATTCACAAGCAGACTTTTTTTTAAAAACCCATGTATCTAATTATATTTTCAATCCTCCTTATATATATCCGACACACAGGATATGGGTCAGGGGCACGCCAACTCCAAACCTGAAGAGGTGGATGAGTCCATGGTGTTAGTTGGAAGTGAGGAAGATTTCAAAAAATCAAAGAGAATCAAAGCTACAGTAAATGATAGAGAGGTTGTGATATTTTATCACGAAGGGAAATACCACGCATTGGACTTGCGCTGTTACCGTAAGCACACTAATCAAATATCCATATGACATGTGCACAACATAAAATTGTAATTTTTAAATGTGTTATTTTTTTTTTTATATATATAGATTCGGGGGGACCCTTACATCTTGGAGAAATTGAGGTTGGTGATTTAATTATTACGATACTCGTGTCTATTTATCCTGCTCTGTGATTATGAGCCCCATTCTAAAAGGCTCTGTAACGGCGACCAACATTTTTATGTCCATATTTCAAAGTAAACCTATTTAAATTGAATTCATATTAATGCGCTTTGACCATTAGTGGACCAAATAAATGAATAACCTATTGCACAACATTTGCTAATCAAAACGTCAATAATTACAGATTTTGGTTAAAAGGGAAATAATTCTCTGTGATGTCCATAGGTTTTAGCATCAGTTAACAATATGTTTGTAAGTGGCAGTGAGAGAAGACGGCATGATTTGTCGAGAAGGAAAAGCTACAAATTGTTATCTCCCCACACAGTCTGAGCACAGGACGTGTTTTTATGTTATCTAAAGTGACAAACAACTCATGGAGGCTAAGAAGTTCTGCCAATTAAATGTCCTTACGTAATGTCACAATTTGGGCTGACGACATAATATTTTAAAAACCCACGTCATCGGTTTACCATTTGAGAGCCAGACAGGGATATTTACTTAAAGGTGAATTGTCAGGAATTCATATTTAATTGAAAGCGAATTTCAAAATTTAGACCAAAACTATAAACATAGCCAAAAATCGTAACTACAAGCACCATAACTACTACAGAGCACTAACGCCTACCAACAACAATGGCCAGGTACTTTTGTGTATAAGTTACATATTGAATCTAGAGCAAACCCTACACGATATTCAAAACTATTTGCAAATTGTGCTCAAAAGGTATCTGAGCCCCTATCATCCCCCCCACCCCAAAATAATAAAATTTTATAAATTAGAATATTTATACATACATATTCTTAATTACGTTTGTCTGAACAGCAATCTATACCCCAAATTGCTGCTTTTATCATACGTGTATGTTTGAGTATAGCATGTTTCAAATAAATCCTAACAGTTTTTCAAGCAGGGATTTGTAGTTAAGCGATTACAAGACAAAGGGAGGTGAATGTTTGCAGGATATTTGAGCAAAAAAAACACTGTCAGGATTATTAATAAAAGTGAAAGTTTTAAAGTTAATTTCAAATTTAAGGCCAAAATAGTCAAACTGGAATATTTTTCTAAGTCAGCTATGCTTTACTTTTGGCTGTTCTGAGAGAGTAGTGGATGCATGGAATAGTCTCCCAGTTGAAGTGGTAAAGGTTAACACAGTGAAGGAGTTTAAGCATGCGGGGGATAGGCATAAGGCTAACCTAACTATAAGATAAGGCCAGGGACTAATGAAAGTATTTAGAAAATTGGGCAAACTAGATGGGCCGAATGGTTCTTATCTGCCGTCACATTCTATGTTTCTGGCCTTGTCATGTTAATTATGTTGATCTAATTTACTTCTATTAATTAGACCCAGATGTTCTCAGATATTGACCATCTCATTAGCTATTCAATCTGCTCACAGGGTTTTTTTTTTGTTTGTTTCAAAAGCCCACTTGACTTTCAAGGGAGGTTATGGTTGTCTGATGGAAGGTATAATAAAAAGCATTTGAAGTGTATTTATTTATATATATTTTTCTCTAAATGTGAAGTGTATTTAAAAAAAAAAACTACCCTTTTGTAAGTTATTTTATACTCTAGTGGTATATAATAATAGTTCAATATCACATTCCCATAGTCTCCCAGTGTCCCCATGTCTCAGTGTGTCTCCTAGGGACACTAAGAGACATGGGGACACAGACACTGGGAGACTAGGGGAAACTGGGAGCCATGTGGACACTGAGCCACTAGGGACACTGGCTGGGGGACATGGGGAGGCATGGGGACACTGTGTCCCAAGTGTCTCCATGTCCCAATGTCTGTGGCTCCCAATGTCCCTATTTCTCACAGCGTCCCCATGTCTCACAGCGTCCCTTAGTGTCTCAGTGTCCCCATGTTTTTCAGTGTCCACAAGTATGTGTCCCCAGGTGTCCCCTAGTGTCTGTGTCCCCATGTGTCCCCTAGTGTCTGTGTCCCCATGTGTCTCAGTGTCCCCTAGTGTTTCAGTGTCCCCAGGTCTCCCTGCTGCCTTTCACCCCCATCCCTCATTTACCTGAGCTGTAGAGCTGCTGTCTGGACTCTCTGTGCTGTGTAGCTGCTCCCCCACGGATCAGTGAGTAGTAGAGAGAGGCAGAGAGGGATATGCTGTAACTTCCTATCCCTGCCTCTCTCACACACAGTGACCCCTACTGGCCGGTGCTGGTATTGCATCAAATACCGGCTGTGCCAGTAAAATACTAGTCAGGTGGCAAACCTAAGAGAACCTAAGAGAAGAGAAAAAAAAAATGTTTAAATGGGCCTAGGCCTGGAGCTGCAGCTCCATCAGCCCCTATGTGAATCCGGCCCTGATCCTTGTGACAAGCATGCGCTCTACCACTGAGCTACACCCCCTACACAGCACGCAAAACCAGGATTCTTAAAAAAAAAAGACCAGAGCGAATTACTTGTTCATGGAGGTGGTCAGGTTTAACGCAGATTCCCAAGAATAACCAAAACACACTTGATAGCAGGTTGAACAAAGTCAGGACAAGCCAATACCATAGGAGCAACAATATAGGCAAGAAAGCAAAGTTATGTAATATGGATTGTGGGGTATTTCGAACCATGCCATAGGTTAAAATCCAGAAAACCAGTAAAAGACCCCATGACAGGAATTTGAAGGATGTTTATATAGTGTGAGCAAAAATAGGCCAGCATCATTCTGGTGTCATCAGAACATGCGTGCAGAGTGACGCCAAGATAACTCCATGGAGATAGTCTCCTTAGGATGTCAAATGATTCCAGAATCATAAGAGGATATAACATGGTAGTGTCTGCCAACATAAATAAAGAGGGGCCAGGCAACACGAGAGTCGGGAATGTGCAATGTGTGCAGGTACCATGACAAATATGAAATAAATGAATAGGTAAAACCATATTAGTCTATTAAGGTTGGACGTTAAAGGTAATATTGCAAAAACCAAACCAGGAACTGCACTCTTCCAAATCTATAGACTTAGATGCAACTAAACCAGAGGCCAGCACCAAACCTCTAATTGTATTTAGTAGTCAAAAAAGAAGGGTCCAGGCACTCTAAGGTGTAAATAGGCAAATTTATTGGACTCAAGTGTCCAGCAACATTTCAAACAGAAGAGGTCTTTAAGATGATATCGCTAAGACCTCTTCTGGTCGAAACGTTGCTGGACACTTGAGTTCAATAAATTTGCCTATGTATACCTTGGAGTGCCTGGACCTTTTTTATTTATTTTTTTATTTTTTTTTTAAATGTTTACACTACTATTTAAAGTTAACTCTGTCTTATATTCCTTATATAAGTTACCATTTTTGTCATGTTTGCATTCGTAGTGTCATCCTTATGGTGACAAGTCCAACAAAAAAATAAAAAAATTGGGGAGAAATTTAATTGGTATGTTTAAAATGCTCTCTACAATTGCTTTTGAGTCTCAAATTTCTTAAAGTGAGTAAATGTGTGTTTTTTTGTTTTTTTTGTTTTTTTTTAGCATGCATCATGTAAACTATCTTTGTTCTCCTAATATTGCTTAAAATATGTTTCCTATTTGAGATAGTGTCGGAACGGCACCAACCCTATGTAACAGCCCTCCTCATCCTATTGA